TGGACTCTACTTTTAGCAGTCCTTCCTAAAAATAGTTTAAAAATGAATTGCATTGATCTATACATTCGCATGAATAGTGTCTTGCACTGGGGGAATCAAGACAAAGGATGAGGTTATGAATGACTAGTAGTCAGGAAGGCTATATGCTGCCTGCAGAATTAGAGGCAAGACGGCTCTGAATACCAGTCAGTGGATAACAATACAGTGGTACCTCAGGTTACAGATGCTTCAGGTTACAGACTCTGCTAACCTCGGGTTAAGAACTTTGCTTCAGGATGAGAACAGAAATCGGCAGCGGGAGGCCCCATTAGCTAAAGTGGTGCTTCAGGTTAAGAACAGTTTCAGGTTAAGAACGAATTAAGTTCTCAACCCGAGGTACCACTGTATCAGGAGAGGGCTGTTCCCTCACATCCCATTGTTCACTTTGTGGGTTTCATAGGCACTTCTGGTTGGCTGTGGTGGGAAACTGGCTAATGGACTAAATAGGCTCCAGAGTGTTTTAGCCTGTCCTGAAGCTATGCAGACCCTGTTGTTGTTGTTGTTGTTAATAATAACAATAATAATAATAATACTAAATTTTTTTATTTATACCCTGCCCTTCCTGGTTCAAAAAACCGGGCTCAGGGCGGCTAACAACAAATTTAAAACACTTAATTGATGCAACAAAAAAGAGCATAAAATACAGTATAAAACATGAATAACAACAAATTCAGAATTCAAAAATCAATTTAGGGGGCTAAATTTAGTCCTGTTTGGGCCAGCAAAGAGACCAGGGTAGAATTAGCTGTGGGATCCCAGAGCGGGTAATCTTCATAAAAAGGGGAGGGGGAGGGAAGGAAGGGGAATAAAAGATCAGACTAAGTTCAAATTAAAGGCCAGGTGGAATAGCTCTGTCTTACAGGCCCTGCAGAAGGAAGTTAAATCCTGCAGGGCCCTGGTCTCATGGGACAGAGCATTCCACCAGGTCGGAGCCATCACTGAGAAGGCCCTGGCCCTGGTGGAGGATGATCTGACTTCCTTAGGGCCCGGGACCTCTAAACTATGATTATTCATGGACCTTAAGGTCCTCTGCGGGGCATACCAGGAGAGGCGGTCCCATAAATACGAGGTCCCATAAATACATGTCCCGTGAAGACATGCAACGATGGCGCCAGGCGAGGCCTGTTCTCCTGTTGCCACCTTCTGAACCTCTCTGGGATGGAGGGACATAGAGAAGGACCTTGGATGACAAGCACAGGGTCCAGGTCTGATCATATGGGGAGAGGCAGAGGGTTGGAGTAGATTTGGTCCCTTCCAGCTCTATAGTTCTAAGTGGATAGACTTCATTGCGGCTGGAGAGACGGTAGCTTTGAGCTTAGAAAGCCGGGCGGGAGCCGCAAGCATCATCTCTGTAGAACACCTCTGGTTTAAATAGGGAAGGGTTGTCTTAATGACCTCCTTGTGTTAATCACCATGCCCTCAATATGAATAACTGGGTATTTATATAACTGGGTGTGGGTTCTAAACCAGGTTGCCAGAACAGGCAAAGCTCCATTTGCACACATGGCTTTGCAGGAGGTTAAAAAAATAAAATAAAAGTAGCTATCTCCTCTGAGAATGAAAACGCTTGTGAAAATGTGAGTTATATGAAACGTGGTGTGTATCTGTGAAGGCTTTTATATGTTTGTTTGTAGGTGTCTCTCTCCCCCAACCGCCCCCCCCAAAAGAAATCAATGTTTTTACTCGGTTCTTTTGGCTGCTCATGTGGAAAGATGCTACAAATGCGCCTGCTTGGTTTGTTCCTCTTAAAACAGATAGTGCTTGTAGATGATGCGCGGCTGAGAAATAATTCCTGACAGTTATAACTGAAGCAGATAAACCGTTCTGCCAGCCACCGAATAATGCCGTAAAACAAAAAGGGTTCTGCTTATCGTTTTCCATGTTTTCATGCTTGTCAGACAGTTTAACAGTGCATTACCTATAACAAAGGGTCTCCGTTTTATTCCTCTTGTCTGCCTCTGGTCATGGTTTTAACCTTGTCCAGCGATGGACCTTTGCCGACATGGCTTCCTTTTTATTGCTTATTATTGTGGCTGTGTACAGAATATAGGAAAGACAAAACGGCTTGTCAGGCGGACATGGTGGTTTGGGAAGCATCTTACAGGACTATCAGGCTTAGATCAGGGCTAGGTGTGATGGGAGTTCAACAATATTTGGAGGCACACAGGTTCCCCATCACTGGTTTAGATGATCCATTCAAGTCACCTGATCCAAATCTTTGTGCTGGTAGGACTCCCAAGATCTGCTGATGTGGCCTTCCAGATAGTAGCTTAAACCCCCTTCTGTTCAAGTCTTCCATTCCTTTTTACTCCAGTCCTTTTCCCTCCCTTATCTCTTAACTGCTGCTGCATTGTTTTTCCTGCATTTGCAGCACTGAAGTGACCTCCCTGGGGCACAAGGCTGGGCCATAGCTGTCAACTTTCTGATTTGAAAATAAGGGATCAGCAGCCTCGAAAATAAGGGATCAGCAGCCTCACCTGTCCCAGGGACAGTCTACGGGATATCTAACAATCCAGGATAGGAGCGGGAAGCAGCGGGAAATGGCGCTGGAATAAGGGAATTTCCTGCAAAAAAAGGGAAGGTTGACAGCTATGGGCTGGGCAGTGTGCATGGAGGTCCTCAGCTGCCCAGGCGACAAGATCCTCCTTTCGGTCTCGCTGATGTGGTCCAAAGGAAAGCAGAGCACTACATTTGGCACCGTGGGTTAAACCACAGAGCCTAGGACTTGCTGATCAGAAGGTTGGCGGTTCGAATCCCCGCGACGGGGTGAGATCCTGCTGCTCGGTCCCTGCTCCTGCCAACCTAGCAGTTTGAAAGCACGTCAAAGTGCAAGTAGATAAATAGGTACCACTCCGGTGGGAAGGTAAACAGCATTTCCGTGTGCTGCTCTGGCTGGCCACATGACCCGGAAGCTCTCTGGACTTGTGTAGGGTTTATTCCTTAGCCCTTTCTTCTCCCAAAGATGTCGCACAATGCAGTGGAGGTCTAGGACCAGATTTTCCTTCTCCTAGATGGGAGACCTTTTCAGGTTGCCAAGCCCCATCTGCTCCTTCTTTCCCTCTACAGCAGAAACTGCCTTCTTGACTGTTGCACCCACTATTGGCCTTGTCTTCTCAGTCCACCGGAGCCTAATTGTGCAGTTACAGTTGGAAATAGTATTTATTTTAGTTTAGTTTATTTGGGGAATTTCTATCCATTGTAACCACCCCCAGAGCTGGTTAAGGTAAAGGTAAAGGGACCCCTGACCATTAGGTCCAGTCGTGACCGACTCTGGGGTTGCGGCGCTCATCTCGCTTTATTGGCCGAGGGAGCCGGTGTACAGCTAGGTGATGTGGCTAGCATGACTAAGCCACTTCTGGCGAACCAGAGCAGTGCACGGAAACGCCGTTTACCTTCCTGCCAGAGCGGTGCCTATTTATCTACTTGCACTTTGACGTGCTTTCAAACTGCTAGGTTGGCAGCAGCAGGCACCAAGTGATGGGAGCTCACCCCGTTGCGGGGATTCGAACCGCTGACCTTCTGATCAGCAAGCCCTAGGCTCTGTGGTTTAACCCACAGCGCCACCCGCGTCCCTTTCCAGAGCTGGTTACAAACATACAAAACCAATATGTAAACTATGCCGTAATAATACACTAAAAGAAAAGATAGACACCGGGAATCAAATCCGGGTAAGGTTCATGACAAAACCGACAAATACCGTGAACTGCCCCATAAAAATTATTTCAGTCACAGAAAGCTTGGTAAAATAAATGGGTTTTTAGTTGGCGTTGAAAAAGCCAACAATCTGCAGCAGGCGGTCTTTGTGAAACACAGCCTTGGAGTCATCTTTGATTCTTCCCTATCAATTTGATCAAGGTGTCTTCTTCTCTCTTATTTCAAGCCCCTTGTCAAAACCCACATCTTTAGTGTTTTCTGAACAGTCACCATCACTTCTATTGCTGTTTGATGCTGTCATCCTCCCTCATCATCCTTTGTCATCCTCTCTCATCATTTCATTTCCCTGACATCCTATCCTCATCCCAGTTCTGTAGTCTCCTGGGCCGGAATTGCCTAATATCTGTGTTCCACACAGCATAGCTACTAAATAAATATGGTAGTTATTTAGGTTGTAGTAAGAGATCTGAAGTCTCCCAGACAGGTAGTCATCCTGTCTTTTGTGGCTCATTCACACGGGTGTTCAACATGGATTTGAAGCTGCTTCTCTCTCTCTTCTCTTTCTTTCTTTCTTTCTTCTTTCTTTCTTTCTTTCTTCTCTCTCTCTCTCTCTCTCTCTCTCTCTCTCTCTCTCTCTCTCTCTCTCAGCATCCACATGACATCCTCTTTATCCAAGTTGCAGCCCATACTAAATTTGGATTTTCCTGTCTGCAGATAATCCAAAAAGGGAAAGACATTCAGCATGAAATGGCGTGTTACCCAATTGTGAACGTACTTAAGCACATTGTGTGCATGGGTGTTTTTTATTATTATTAAAAAAAAACACCTGTGTGGTGATGTTTCGATGGGTGCCATCTATCATCATGGTTTCCACCAGCCCAAAGGGAAGGATGTGGCCTGCCCTTTTTCTGCTGGTTGTTTCTGAAGAAACGTTCATTGTGGTTGTAGCTGTATTTTTAAAACCGCTCATTTGAAGTGCTGTCGCACAGAACAGCTGTGTAAAAAATAATATGTGCACTTGCAGTTATGGGAGGTGGGAAAGGAAAAGGAGGAGGAAGGAAGTGACAGTCTTTCATGGGAGCAACTCCAAATCTATGCTAGTCTTGAAGCAAGATGCTTTTTAATGGACTGCTCTTTTGTGCAAGTCAGGTATATTGAAATATAATGATGATGATGATGGGTATATGAATGAAGTTAAATAAATACCCAATTGTATGCCCACAGTAGATGTGAGGTGGGTGGAAGTACTATTAGTCTTAAGTTAATATATTTATAACTCCCTGTTTTTAATTTTGCTTTTCCCTTAGGAGGCTACAGCAGCAGAGTGCGGAAGGGAAGGCTCCAATATTCAAGTCACCTCAGGGCAAAACAACTGTGACCAAACTGGCACCACTGGGCCATTGGCTTCCCAAAGTCTGGTCGCCCCAGCCGGCGTCTCTGCAGGGACTTCAGCTGCAGCGTCATTCTTCATAAGGTAGTTTTCACCATTACGATTTACATAGTTGCTCTTGTGTATGAAATGACCACAAACCAAGTGCTTACTGGGCGGTTGGTGTTGTTGTTGCAGATGGCAGCTCAGGCAGGAGAATGGGATCACTATGCAATGGAAGCATGAACTTGCAACTTCTGCTGGGGAAAAAGATTGTGGGGTTGGGAGCAGGGTGGAGTTGTAGCGGAAAAGCAACGGGTGCCCGAAAGGCTAGGCACCTTCCTTCCACCTCTTTCTTCTCTACTGGAAATCTTGCTTACCTGTGCTAGGAAAAGTGGGAGCTGTGCTTTGGAAGCCTGTACAAAGGTGCTTTCTTTTCTCACTCATTCACAGAGCTGTGCGTGGACAAACAGTAATTCTCTTTACACCAGGTGGTCTTGGGAACTGTAGCCCCATGAGTAAGGCTAGATATTTTCATAGCAGAGACTTGGTAGTGCCTTCACCAAACCATGAGCCCCAGTATGGCATCTGAGAACAACGGCAGCTAAAAAGAACAACAGAAAGCCCCTCTTTCTGAAAACCTGGAGAGCATCGACAAGGGAAGGCCCTCCAGATGTCATTGGACTAAAATCTCCCATCAGCTCCAGCTAGCATGACCAATAGCCAGGGAAGATGGAAGTTGCAGTCCAGGGTTTATATCCCTGGTGTATGTTGTTGGCATTCTCCTGGTATGCCCCACAGAGAAACTTATGGTCTTCAAATAAAAACATCTTGAAGGTCCCAGGCCACAGAGAAGTTAGGCTGGCCTCAACGAGAGCCAGGGCTTTTTCGGCTGTGGCTCCGATCTGGTGGAACGCTCTGTCACAAGAGACCAGGGCCCTGCGGGACTTGACATCTTTCCGCAGGGCCTGCAAGACAGAGCTGTTCCACTAGGCCTTTGGCCAGGGCACAGCCTGACTCCCTCCCTCGGCAATCTTCGTGGAGCTCTGGCCCAATGGTTGCCAGTGGCTTGAATTAATTAATTTTATAATGAATGATTTTAGAGTGTTGTTTATGTTGTACTTTTGTACTGTTTTATTGTTGTTAGCCGCCCTGAGCCCGGCTTCGGCTGGGGAGGGCGGGATATAAATAAAATTTATTATTATTATTATTATTATTCATCTGTCTTGAGAGACATTCAAGGGCACCTCTGGGGGTGAAGTCAAACTGCTGTGTTAGCAGCACCAAAGGGACCTCCACTGGGCGCAAGCCTGAGCAGTGTGCATGGAAGACCTGGATTGCCTAGATCAGTGTTCCCCAACCTTGGGCCTCCAGCTGTTTTTGGACTACAACTCCCATCATCCCTCGCTAGCAAGACCAGTGGTCAAGGATGATGGGAATTGTAGTCCAAAAACAGCTGGAGGCCCAAGGTTGGGGAACACCGGCCTAGATGACAATATTTCCCTTCTTGGCCTTGCTGATGTGCACCGAGGAAAGCAGAGCAATACATTTGGCACCAGCTTGGCTGCAGGAGTTGCCGGAAGGAGACGTACAAGGTGCCATCCAACCGACTTAAGAGACTCCACTCCAAATTTGTGTAAGGTATGGTTTCCCCAAAATGGGTCTCTAGCTGTTTTTGGACTACAGTTCCCATCATCCATGGCCACTGGCCCTGCTGGCTAGGGATGATGGGAGTTGTAGTCCGGCCACAGCAGAAGACTCAAGTTTGGGAAACCCTGGTGTAAGGTGTACTCTTTAGCCTTTTCTTCTTCTGAAGATATCCTGCAAGGTAGCAGAGGTTTCAGATCAGAGCTTTCCTTCTCTGGTGGTATGGTCAGTGCTGAGCTACAAGGACCGAGTGATCTGCTTTGGTGTGAAGCCGCTTTCTGTGTTGCCATCCACTTCTCTCTGTAGCTCCTGGGATACCTGATATTGCCGGGTTCCAACATTACTCCCATGGACTTCTCTTTTTTGTTCTTTCTCACACTGATTCTATCTTTTGTAGATAGCGCCCACAAGCTGTTACATAACTTGGGCAGATTTTGCTTTGTTATGCTCAGTGAAATGTACGCAGGCTGCATTTGCATATTGACTCAAGAGTCCTTGTTTAAAAGTGGTTGCTCAACTTCATCAGGCTTAATTATGCAACACTCTTACATTTAACTTTGATATTTTTACTCATTAGCCTCAAGAGGAAGCGTGTAGTCTTCTCCTGCTCGCGCACGTGTTGTAATACAATCTGGCACCTAAACAAAATTTGAAACGGAGTTAACTCCCAAATTCCACTCTCTCTCGAAAGAAAGGACTGTCTAGTGTTGGACTTCAAGGCAAATGCCACCCCAGACTACCATTCCTTAATCAGGAAGATGCTTCTGGCTGAGAAGGGCTCACAGAGCTTGGCAGAAGCAGTATTTTCCCATCAGAGAACTGGCACAAGAAGAAAGGGTTTCTTTTCTCAAAATCTTAAGATGTTAGATAGAGGCCCAGATGCAATAAGAGAGGGTCCTGGTTTTCACAGGTGCAAGGGCACAAATTCTGCACCATGAAAGGTGCTTGCTGGGAAATTACAGAGGTTTTAAAGGATCTTGGAGTGGGGTGAACGTTCAAAAATGCACAGCTTGGGATCAAAGAGCAGGTTATGGGAGCAAAGAATGCTCGCTGAGAGACAGTGCGACCTCACGGCTAGACTATGGGACGAGGACTGAGGAGAGATCTGGGTTCGAATGTGCACTCACCAAATAAGCTTCAAGTGCAGATACAATCAGGGACGGTTAGGACAGTATACAGTATACCTGAACTCCATGGAGGAAATGTTGGATAATAATAAAGAGAACAAGGTTGGGTCCAAGTTGGGCAGAATGACGAACAAGACCTTGTGCTTTTTCCCCTCTTCCTTTTTAAATGCTGGTGTCTCTGTTGTGGCTCTGTAAGGCTCCTAGGTCTTACTTTAACACTCCCCGCTGCTTTAAGCCAATTATCCCAACCTAACTCTGATACCCAGTGTGAGAAAATAGCTCAAAGCAGCAGAGCTCAAAGCAAGACGACTCGGGAGAGGTGGTTGTTTGCTCCCTTTCCTTGCACGTTTAGTATAAAAGTTACACTCCACCACCACTATCAATGTTTAATGGTTCTTTAATAGATAATTATTTTTCTATGTTTTCAGCTGTTCTTATTTTTATCTGTAAAGGAGTCCCTGTCAGGGAAGAAAGGCGGGGGTATAAATAAATAAATAAATACCAATAATAGTAATTATAACAATGCATACAAATTAATTTTAATTGTGGATGAGACTTCTATAGGTACCATTGTTGAGCATTAAAAATAAATTGATCTCAGAGCAAGAGAGGCGAGAGCTTTCACTGCTCAGCTAAGGTGGCTTCTACCATATTTGGGAACAAGTGGATATATAGATAAAGACAATGCATAAAAAAGGTGTTAAGAATCTCTAGGGATAGATTTTATGCTTCTAGAAAGTGCATTTAAGCTGTATACAACCATATGAAGTTTATTTTGAAGGTACTAATTTTTATTATTTGTAATTAAATATAATTGTTTGTTACCTTTTTGTATGTTATTTACAAAACTCCAGACCTTTATCTACCTAGCCTCCTGCTGTGACTTGGGTCACTAGAATATGGCAGAATGCTGAGAGAGTAAAGTGGGATGTTGAAAACCAGCTTAATAAATATATTATCTTCTTGCCTTACTCAAATGCCTATTTCTGTACCAGTATATGTAGACGGAATATATGCCTTTCCTCCTCTTTCTCCCCAGTTACAAATGTTCTTTTACAATTTGAGAGATTAAAAAAACAAGAACCCCAAATCTCTTTCCGGATAGGACAAATCTCTTTGAAACCACCTGCCACGTTGCAGATTTCATGCCCTTACTGCTCAAATGCCCAGAATTGTATTTGAATGTTTTATCTTCAAAAGGAAGCATTTAGTAGACTTATTTCTAGAACCAGAATGCTTGGTCATATTTGCATGCCTCTGAGTTTGCGGATTAAAGAATCTAATTATTCACTAATGAGCATTAATGGTACATATAAACTGAGGGTCACTCTCCTATTACAGGCACCTGATGGTTTGCTGATAAGCATTTGGCCATTAGATTGACCATAAAATACAGTCAATAATTGAGGTGACTGGGAGAGCAGGCACCTTATCAAGTGTAGGCCTAGCAAGACAGCTTGTCATGTCTCAGGGTACTGGCTGAGCAGTGACTGAGCATATGATTAGGCCATTGGAACATTGTGCCCCTAATGAAATGGGAAGAAAAGCATTGCAATATTAGCACAACTGCTAAATGACTAATGTGTTTTTCTTCCAAGGCTCAGGCGCTTCAATTAGTTCTGATAAATGGTTCGCTTTGCTGTTTATTGTGAACTGGGGAGCTGGGGGCAGGTTCAGGGGGGGCCTTGACTACCTTCGAGGCATAAGAAGCTGCCTTATCACTGGTCCATTTAGCTCAATATTGTCTTACTGTTTTAACCCACTGTGGGATCTTTGGCTGAAGGCTGGGTAAGGAAACAAATAAATCACAGAATCATAGAATTGTAGACTTGGAGGGGACCCTGAGGGTCATCTAGTCCAATCCCCTGCTATCCAGGTATCTCAGCTAAAGCATCCATGATAGATGGCCACCCAGCCTCTTCTTAAAAACCCCCAAGGAAGGAGAATTCGCTACCTCCTCAGGGAACCTGTTCCGATGTCAAACAGCTCTTCCTTTCAGAAAGGTTCTTCCTGATGTTCCTGATCTCCTTTCTTGCAACTTGAATCCATTGGTTGGAGTCCCACCCTCCAGAGCAGGGGAAAACAAGCTTGCTCCATCTTCCGAATGACAGCTCTTTCGATATTTGAAGATAATAATAATAAATAATAAAATTTTATTCATATCCCGCCCTCCCCAGCCGAAGCCGGGCTCAGAGCTGCTAACAACAGTAAAAATAACACTGTTTACATGAAATAACAATCAATTAATTGAAATATATTCGAAAATCCATTCATTCGAAAATCAATTCAGAGTCAAATTAATGGCAACCATTGGGCTAGCGTTCTGTGAGG